ATTCAGCCCATTAAAGTTACTAATTATTTAGAGATCAGCATAGGATGGTCTAACCAGCATTCACTTCCCATTGTCAATTTTTGTAAACTAATTACAGATTTGTAATTTAAGTTCTTTTCTGCAAATTCTAAAAATGACCCCATATTAAGTTTGGCATCTGATTATTTATGTTCAACATATTTTAAAGTTTATTTTTAATAAAATGTTAGCTAATATGATTTGTATGTAAAGTTAGTGCTGTATAAAATGTAATGTCTATTTTTCTCTGAAATGCAATTAGTTGGCCTACATGATATGTTTATGCATGCAGGCTACCTTTTTTTATGGTTCATGTGCCCATCATTCCTAATTAACTTCATTCATTATTTGAATTCTCTGCAGATTCATTAGTAATTATATATCCATGATAGGTTTGGCATTTGAATTACACAAGATGTTCTCTTTTATCAGACCTTATCAAAGTTTATATAAAATTTACTCATGTTATTGTTTTCTTTAAATGTAATTAGTTGGCCTACATGATATGTTCATGTGCACATCATGAAACAAGTTGTCCACTCTCAAGGCCAGTCTCCTAAAAGGTCAATATCTCCATAGACAATGAACAATTGCCTGACCAGCAGCTATTGTTGTGCATTTTGTTTTCACAGATTAAACAAGTTCAGTACACTGGCCCCCAACTGATGTAGCACGTACACACAGGTGTACCACCTCCGATAATACACTCTGAAAGTTGTTTATGCAGTTTCCGAGATTAACAGTGTTTGACCTAATATAAATGTCACAAACCCTGTCATTTAGAAGGGCTCTTAATCATCAGTAGGGAACAATCCTTTCGCTTCTGTCACTTGGATAATAGGAAGACAATGACCTGCGAATTGGCAATCAATCCAAGTGTTTATATGAGTGTAATTTTTGTGAGCCCACAATCAAATCCCTCTCTTGGCTCCGTCAGGAATGATAATGATTGTGGTCGCATTCAGAAGCTTTTAAACTTCCTCTTTGTATTTCAACGACGATTCAAAATGCACGTTTTCAAACCACATTATTCATTGCATATTATGCAATACCTTAAAAAGACAACATGCCCGAATTCAAAGGTTTATACCACTCTTAGCTCAGTTGGTGGATTACGGTAATCAGATGGCCTGGGTTTAAAATCCTAATGGGGACATTCCTCAAACATCTACTATTATTTCCCAAACCATTAATTTGTCGGGTTTTTCTTTTTTTTTCAATAATGTTTTTAAGTTAGGGTGGACTAGATTCATACCAAAGCATCTTTTTTTTTTTTGGTTATGTATGCCTACTAGCCACTACTAATCTCTTAGTTGTCTGAAATTTCATGGTAAAAAATTCCATACTGTTGGTTCCTCAGCATTAGTATGTTTGGATTCTTCTTTTACTAAATAATATTTTGGTGGTCTAGGATGATTAGTAGTGACCAGCAATGATTGCCTAGAGCTGTTTCCTCGTTTCTACTTTATTACTTCGCCACGCAAACGTTCAAACAATATTTTATTATGTGTTTGTAGATTGATCATTTTTAATTATAAATATATTTGAAAATTGTTACTGTAATTGAAATTTTTCTATTTTTATTAGTTCAACTCATGTATTTTATTGACAATAACTTTTTTAAGATACCTTTAATAACAAGTGGTAGTAGGTAGAAAAGGAATAAAGAATAGATAAATACATTATGTAATACAAAGCTATAGTAAGTAGTTTATTGATTCTAGTATTAAATTTAGCTATTCTATTTTTGTAAACCCTTTTTTTATTTATATTTCGTTCTACCGCAGTATTTTCTTACTATATTTTATCACAGTAATTAAGTTTTTACTGATTTTGTTATTGTTGCACGTCTTTACGGCTGTGCCTCTGTTATAAAAGAGAAGCAANNTAAATCATTCCTGATGATGACATAATTAATGTCGAAATATTGAATCCCAACACGATGGCGTGTATTTCAATACTTGGAGTATGTATTATACTTTCTTATCTGAGATCAATCAGTGGACCTTTCGGTTAGAAGCAATAAAGTTACTTACTTACTTACTTACTCTTCTATTCTGTTTCATTCTTTTCTGTTTGATTTATGAAGTTTTGCTAAATGTAGATAGTAGCTTTCAAAATAACTTGGCAATAAATAGGCAGGATAAACAAGAGGTAAACACAATTAATATAATAATCTATAAAGTACACCTTCATTACATTGTTATCATTAGGTACAATAATGGGAAAACTGTAAACTCACATGTTTTTACCACACTAGTGAATAGAAATAATATGCAAGAGCAACGTGAGGATTGAACATGTGGTTATTAATGCAATACATAATGTCACATGGAGTTTACAAATAAAGGACCCACTTTACCATGACATGTGACTCAGGCATGTGTTATTACACATACTCAAAAAATGTGATTGTTAGGATATTTACTATGAAGGTACGGATGTTCCTCTCAGCTGTTTGATGTTCTGATTTGTTTAAAATTCATCCTCCAATAATTATCTAGATAATTTGTGTTTATATGTTTTATCTTTTCTAAACAAACACTGTGACTACTTCACAAATATGACCGTGTTGTGATTAAAGCGCTAACTGTGTAAACAGCAGTTATGATGATGGCCTGACTTCAGAGGGTACTTCTAGGGGATAGTAGAAAATGTTTCAAAAAGTGTTTAAGATTTAGATCAAGAAGTGAATATAACGTAGTTTTGTCATGTGTAAACCCACCTCTAATTCAGGCCTTATTTTATTTACCAGTCTTTTCTCGGACAAAGGGCAAAAAGCCTAGGGTATGACTTTTACAAATATTCTCAGAAAAAAACATCAAATATTGGCTTTGATTTAAGCATACGAAAAATTGCCATTTGATTAATAAGGTTATTCCCTGGGTATAAGCCCAACTCCAAAAATTGGCCCAATTTTGTGTTCAAGGGGTGGGGGTCTTATTACCAGAGGAACAACATTATATTAGGAAACATTTACTTGTGCAAATCTAAGAAAAAGATGAATCCCAATTATTGTTTTATATTATTTTCTAGGACAATTTCAAATTAAAACCCCCTTATTTTCAGACCCTGGAAACCTGTATGCTGAGCTAAACCCCTGAACCATGGCAGCTGTCTGCCGAGAAATCCCTCTATTGGGGATTCTGTGACCTTATAAGCTAGAGCCCCTTATTGGAGACTCGGGAACTGTATTCTAAGCTAGGCATCCCTTATTGGGGACCCTGGGAGCTGTATGCCATTCTCAATCCTATCAAGTTTGCATGATAATGCTTTACTTATTGTCAAAATGCAGTCGCAGTATCAGGCGCCTGTTAGGGTCAGGGACAACAACAACATGATAAATATAGATACAGTACTGTAGCTTATGTGCAGTTTCATTACAGCTGTAAGCTGAAGGAAGTTTAACAATTAACGAAAGATACGTTTTGAGAAATTAATTTCTGTGGTGCTGATGGTACCTGGAGACACTCAAACCAAATATTTTATTCTATTTGTTTCATTTATTCCCAACCAACATTATACATTTATTCAAAGAAATTCATCTGTTCTGTACAGCATATTACATAAAGGAATATTCTAATTAATTTTCGTAGCCACTAAAAAGTATAATAAAGACATGCAGTCAATGAGATCCTAGAAAAAAATGATTATCTACACAAAGCATTATGATTTTATTAAAACTTAATTTGTAGGGAAAATACATATGTGGTACACTTTTTTATAACAACCAGTAAAATTTTGTCAATGCTCAGTGTTTTTATTTTTTCACCAATTTCAGGCACAAAATGTTATAATTTTACATACATTTCAAAGATATTATGTACAGCAGGATATTACTGCAATGTATAGTATAGGGGGTATTACATAGCCACACCTACTGCACCTAAGCTACACATATAATTCGTTGGGTTTTTCTATTTAAAAAAAATAAATAAATATAAACCTCATTTGACATTTTTACCTCAGCCTCAATTTGTTCTTTGTTTTTATTTTTTAAGTAATTTCTGCCTCAGTGTTCATACATTGTGTTAAATAAAAAGAAAAAGTGTAATAAAAACAATACGAAACTATATATAGTAGACTCTATTTAAACTCATCATGTAATTTCCATAGCTGGGTGTGTTAAACGTCAATAGATATTGATTAGTATAGATTTTATCACATACAATAATAGGTAGTGTAGAATTTAGTTAACATCCTGAGGTTCGGCCTGTTGGTCTTTTCAATCAGTGACATAAAACTCAAACTTAGTGGACCATTCACATCAAATTTGTACAATTTCCAATCTGGACTCCAGATCCGGACTGATGAATCTGAGAGCCATTAGTATCCTGAAATTATACGTTTTTTTTTTCTTGGACCAATCAGCAACAAGCTTGGTTGGTTCGTACCAATCGAATGCACGCATACTTAACCCAAACAACCATGTTCTGTGCGCGATGTGAACGCAGCATTCAAAAAACGTAGCAACTCACGATTTTTTGTCCGGGCTCCGGACCAGATCTGGGCTTGATGTGAACTTAGCTTAAGAATAGTAGATGGAGACCATTTACAGTAGAGTTAGTCAAATGGCAAACAAGATACATACTCAGAACTGTTTTACTAGTACTACTGTACGAATGCTTTTGATTACCCTCACACTTAGGCTCCTGTACCTGGTCCCACTTAGCAGGCCCATAGCTTCTTTAGATTGGCCCAGCAGCCATTCCTGGGCCGCTGGACTTCATTCTGTGCCTTCTTCAGCATGATAAAATAAAAAGAATCCAAGTTTTATGGGCCCTGTTTCTACTGCTACAGGAGGTCGTTCTTTGAGAAAAACTGTTCCTAGAAACCATTTTTCTTCACCATTAGAAACACAACAAATACTTCCTGAGCACTGCCTCACTTCTTTCCCTTTTCGTGGGGAGTAATGTGAGTTTAAGTAGAGGTAATGGTAACATGATGATATTCATTTTGTTTTCTTTTTTTTTTTACCACAGACAAGTGATTCTCATGAAGGTCAGTCGTCACCAGACCTATACACACCGTTGCCCCAAGTACTCAAAGAAGGTGGTCAACACCAAGGTATGATGCCGATACTTAATATTCATTTTACTATAATATGTGGTAATAATGCTTATGATAATAATAGTATTGACCAAAATAATGTTGATAATCGTGCCAGTGGGGACTTGTAATGATGATGATAATAAGACCACAGTGTTGTTCCCCTATTATGAACGACCATTAAATTTCTGGTCTTGCTTATATTTTAATTTTTTAGTTTTTTTAATTTTCAAAGTCAATAAATGGCTACTAAGTGAATTTATTTTCCCTGAATTACTACAGTAGGTATTTATGAATTCAAGTCTGTTAATATAACTCAAAATTTACTTTGTATTATAAAGAGGGCACTCCAGCTTCAAGTTTTTCTTGACCCTTGACCTTACCATGTGATCATGTGGGTAACATCGTAAAAGAGAATCATCATTTTAAAGTTCAACAAAAATTTTGATTGATTTTGTTGGTTTTATTGCGATATAATTTTCAAATTATACTTAGTATGTATTTCCTGATCTTTATAGTGAATACAGTAGTAATGAAGTACAATATCAGATTCTTTTCTACTTGGTGGATTTTTTTAAAAATTTTTTTAAGGGTATAAATCTCCTAAATATTGTCCAGACTATCAAATTTGATTTAACAAAAGCGTGACATGCCTAAATATGGTCATGATGACATCACATCATGACCATATAAGCACATCATGACTATATATGGGCATACAACAATTTTTTTGAGAGTCTGGACAGGGTTTTACATCACATTAATATTTGACTTTGTATGGCGATTATAATACAGTCATATTATCTTTATTTAAACTTATATATTGCCACAATATAGAAGATAAATGAATCTGATTGATTGTATTATTATAATTCCAGGAACGTTTGGGCAGTGCAAGTACGTCTACTATGGCCGCCACTCAGAGGGTAATAGGTTCATCCGCAACACTGACCTTTAACCCCCCTTTAGATGCATTTTTTTGTGCCAAAAGAAAAGATGATAAATATACCAATGAACATGAAATTTTGGTGAAAGTTCATTTACGTTGATTTTGATTTTGGTATAGTTTGCATGATTCATTCCATCTCAAAATGAATGAAAGTGAGTGGATGAATAAAATAATTTATTTTTACAGTTCAGTAATTTACATAAATCTCAGCCTATGTTCACAATTATATGGCCCTCATCTTGGGTCCAAGGACCTAGCCCTAGTGGGGAAAAGGTAGTGAACCCCTTTGCAGAGCATTGATATGAGCATTATTCCAACCCAAACATTCTGAGTGATTATTTCCCAGAACATTAAGAAATTTTTCTGTAATATTGAAATGTAATAAATAAGTCACCAAATAGGACACTTTTTTTTTTTTTTTTTTACCAAAACGGTCTGTATATAGGTTTGTACAAGATGAGGGGTGGGATAAAAAAGTTTTTTTTGTTTTTATTTTTTAAATGTAGAAACTGAATATATGTACACTAAAGGTCTCCTTGCAATTTCGGCTAATTCTTTTGTGGTTTGGGATTAGAAGAGGGATCTTTAATTGGAGTAAGACACATGATTAAAATGAACTGCTGCACTATGTATTAGGTCAAGCTCACCAGCTTCAGTTACTTTTTAAATGTGTTAAAAAAGTTCCAAATCACAACAACCAACATTGTATCACCTTGGCAGTAGTAGTACCAACCACGAGGTGAGAAAAGCTTAGAGTTAACCAAGCGTGAAACGGTTGTAGTAGTTGTGTGCTATGGAACCGGCGGTCGTGTGAAAACAAAATCGTGTAAAAAAAAAAATTTTTTTTTTTTTTTTTTTTTTTTTTTTTGTTTACCACAAGTGGACACTACATCTTAGTCTGTAATCCTTAAATTTTGTAGGTCTACCTTGGTATTATATTTTTGTTGTAAGACTTTTTCATCTTTAGATTTTATATTTTGTAGGTTAGTTATTTAAGCATTTACTTTACAGTTGACCTGTAAATATTTCTGAGTATGAAATGCGAAGTGAAATGTTATCTCATCTAATTTCATATGTTATTTTTCTACCTTTCTTTAATTTTGTAATATTATTTACAGTCGATTGTTATTTATTTTGTTTGTTA